TTAGTCTCTTTTTTGCCCTGTCGCATCTATTTGTCCTGTCCGGACTCTGTTTCATGCATAGCCATTTCTTGCTATGTTCTGCTTTTTTTCATGTTTTATGTGCACTGTTTCCTGTCTAGCCATTGCCAACTGCAACTAGCTACTGTCCAGCCATGCCCAGATGTACCTAGATAAGCTCAAACAGCCCACATGGCCTGTGCATGCACCCATCAGTCATGCACAGCCTCTCTGCACCTACTACAGCCATTACCCAACTGCCAGCCTTCATTGTCGAGAAAAGACAGCAGTAATTCAGCTCTCTGGTTGCAGACTACTTCAGCATTTGCAGCCTTTGCAAGAGCCCTTGCTCCTACACTAAACAAGGCCTTCATTGCCTAAAATACTTCTTCGTATCATGTTTAAGGTCATGTTACAAACCACACGTAAATGTTTATTGACACACTCAATTACATTTTCAGCCTCACATGGAGTAAATACCTCAAATAAACTGTTTTCACTATTTTGAATTACAGACTCAGGAGTCACAAACCGTATGATCAATTCTGTAAACACTTCAATACCTGTCTCATGTCCCATTAATAAGAAAGTAGTTACTTCTGAAGGTTCATTGACCATCGTAGTAGAAATTGGAAGTATGTAGATTAGTCCTAACTTCAGAATTACCAATGTACTTCATGTTCTCAAATTATGCATAAATCTTACTTCAGTGACCAAATTATCACATGACCTAATTGTAAAGTGATTTTTCTTCATCTCATTGTGAATTTCAGAACCAGACATCAAGGAAGATGATTGGACATGCTAAGGCACGGAAGAGGTTATAGTTGTTGGATGCACCTGAAATACCATCCTCTACTCTCACCACTAGGATCTTAGACAAGATATGGTTGCACCAGAGACGATGAGACATTCGTCCTTTTCTATCTTCAAGGTTGTGTTTACCTCCTTATTTAAAGATTTCAATAACAGAAATTTACATCTTGATGCATATGAATTGACAAAATATAAACGAGTAAATTTTCTTCCATGTAATAAAAGAAGCAATTTTCGTTTTACATGGATTCATGGTACTATTTAATTTAAGGTTCCATAAAACATTCACAATATTTGAAGCAAAAAAGCAAAATGTGGTAGTAAGATCTAGTATAGAATCAAAATTCCGGACACTAGTGCAAAGGAGTGTGTGAGCTACTATGGTTAAAAATGATTCTGGAAGCCCTATAAATTAAATGGGATGATCCTATGAGACTCTATTGTGGCAACAAGATAACGATCAACATCGTTCAAATCCAGTACAATGCAACAGAATCAAGCTTGTTGAAGTTAATAGGTGTTTTGTCAAATAAAAACTAGACAGTGGCATGATATATACACCTTACGTGCTTGCCAACTAACTTTTATAGCCAAACTTGTTGTAGTAACTAAGAGCTTAAGTAATCCAGGTCTTCAGACAATTATGGCCAAACTGGAAATGGACAATATTTATTCCCCAACTTAATACGAGAGTGCTGGAAAGTGTAAATTTTGTGTAATAGTGAAATATCCGTATATATATTTAATGGTAGGTTTCTTTTTATTATTCCGAGAATATGCATACGTAAGGCCTTATTCCATAATGGAAACAACAATTCATTCTTCCACAGAAGAGAAAAAATAGGAAACTAATTATAGCAAAACAAATGAAAACAAATCAAGTCTCCAAATTAGCGGGATTCTCCAACCAACATTCCATATTTTTGTAACGATTCAGGATTTTCCAACAATTTAATAACCATATGCATGCAAATCATAGTAAGAAAGAATACACAAATAAGACTGGGCCAGATAATATCAAAGTAATATATAATTCAGCATTTCTTTTCCCACAGATTTGTCACCTTATTTCAAGTTATCAACAAACATGCACATTTACAAGTTAGCTATTCTCATCATAATGTCTACACATGATAGTTATTTACATGTCCACCGTGAACACAAGAAGAACTATTTGATTTCCATTCTGATTTTCTTGCATAGAACACAATTCTGCTAATGAAATCTAGCATTAGATTTACCTCCTTGTCAAGCCCCCCATGAGCAAGCCTAGTCTTATAGTGTTTAAATTCACCCAGCATGAGATCAACGTACCTATTATTTCAACAACCCAAGTCAGAATAATCAAGGGGATAGCATTCCATAGTACATGCAGAAATAGAACAA